GATATTTGTCTCTCAAAATATGGATGGTGTTCACAATATGGAAATTAATATCCCAAAAGTTTTTTTAGGTTGAAAGTTTGGGCTCCTTTATTTAATTGCAGTTTTCATGCATTTCACCATGTCTCGAACTTTTGAAACGAGTTGAAAAATTTTTGCACTTAATAATAAAATTCATTAACCTAAAAATAATTCCCTGTCAAAAATAATTTTTTAAAAATTATTTATTATTAATACATAGTCGGAACAATTTTGAATTCAAAAATATACAAATTATTACATAATTTTAAAGAATATTAATTTAAATAGTAAAATACAAAATTTGAACAAAATCTATCGAAAAGTTCTTGAGAAATTAAATGTTAATTATATAACTTTTTTAAAATTGAAAGATTCAGGTTTATTTGATTGATTTAGTACAGATTAAATTTTGTATTTTGTCATTTAAAATGACATTTGTCAAATTTTCAATTTAAAGTTCTTTCGACTATTCTCCTTATATATAAAATGATCAATACTTCTTACAAATTATTTTTGACAAGGAACTATTTTTAGGTAAATGAATTTTATTGTGTGCTAAAATTTTTTAGTTCGTTTGAAAAATTCTCGAGATATGGTCATTTATTTCGAGAGTCAAGAATTCAAATCAATTGAAAAAAAAAAGTTATACTTTTTTTAGAAAGTACATGTCTATTTTTCTAATTTAAAGTATTTTGAGTCTTAGTAAATAAAAGTTCAAACTTTCGATCACAAGTTATTCAAAGTGTTTGCTTTTTTGCACATACATATGAACATTAGTTATTTTTTTAATATTATTTGAAAAGTTTTCAATTGATCATATTATTTAAAAAAATTTCTTTTGATTTCATTTGAATAAATATTTTTTCCGGCCCTGGTGTGATGGTTGACTTCAGTGATCTGCAGTGAACCGTGTCTTATTTGATCAGTCCACTGCGGGACAGTTTAAAACTGGAATGGTACCATAGTTAACCTATCGCGTAACTTGTTGTAGTTTATTTACGTCACATTAGAGCTGCGCAATTGGTTATTGGCAACAGTCCAAGTGGTCACCCAACCGCGCGTTGACCACAGCCAGTGATGGTTGACTTCGGTGATCTGCTGGGAACCGTAAAGCAGCAGTACCCAATTTATTTTATTTTTTAAATCAGGTTTTTTCTAACCCTGAGTCCCACTGAGTTACAGTAAAGCAGCAGTACCCAAATGGGGTTCCGTGAAACCATACCTATCGTTCCTTGAATAATTAAAAGAGTTCTGTAAGTTAGCAATTTTTATGACCAGTGATAAGTTTTGAAACCTCTGATTATACTTTGGTCAGACCTATAATTCATAATTTATTCAATGAAATATAATTTTTTTGAAGAAAATATAAAATTTCTGCTAATAATATATGTAACATAAAAAGCTTCTATTAATCTTTTTATGTTAGTTTCTTTGCTATAAAACAACTCCTACTTTATTACAAATTAATTATTCAAATAGAAATGCTTTCTCAGAACTTTAGCAGAACCACAACTTTATTTATAAAGTTGTGGTTCTGCTGAAAGAAGGTTTATTGAAAAATTTGAAACCAAAGCATTGGAGTATTCATTGTTAATTTTTTACTTTTTTTCTGTCATAAATTCAACTATTTATTTTCTCTTAAATGCATAATAATAGATTTTTGTCTTCTTTTTATTCTTAAATGCACAATACCTAACTGATATAACTGTACTGATGATGATAGTTTATTTCTCTATGTTTTATTTTAGGAAAAACTTTATATGTTTGATAAAGTTTTTAAACCCAATGATACACAAGAGAAAGTATACAATGAAGCAGCTAAAGGAATTGTCAAAGGTGAGCCTCATTTCTTTCTCTTATTGATGGCTAATATTCCTTCTTTTTGACCACCTGTCTGAGTTGACTTCTATTGTCAATAATCAAATTTATTCCGTTTTTTGAAAGGTAGTAAAGCCTTTGTAACTTAACATATCAGCTAACAAGCAAATTAAATCAAATTTGTCTATTTGTTATAGAATGCTATTCTAAACCATAAGTTGACAATAAAAAAGGGTTTTTAGAAATATTTATATGCCATTAGGTTAAAGTATTAGAGTTTCACTGATTTAGTAAAATAATTAAAAATTGATCTAAATCAATCGAAACTCCTTTGTGAGTTGACCACATGGGGAAAATATAAAGGATTTATGTGTGTTATGAAATGCACAACAAATTACTTTTTGATTTGTCTGACAAAATAAATTTTAAAATGTTGAAATGGATTTAAATTTGTTTCCTATATCTATTGGTTCTTGTGTAGGGGAGAGTGGCTCCCCTTGGGACACTTCTTTATTTTCATTTTTTTATTCAGATCAATTATTGACAAAATTTTATCTGGTATTCTTGTAACATTTGAAAACATTTTTAACTAGGTTTTGATTTTGTACCTGTCATAGAAAAATTTTAAAAAATGTTTAGTTACCTTGTTATTTGTCCCAAGGTGTACCTCGTAGTGGGGCACCTTGGGACAGTTAAAAAGATGTGAAAAGTTAAGTAGAAATTTTCTAAAAATAGTATAACTAAATAAATTTGCATTTTTAAATTTTGTTAATAAAGTTTTATTTTGTTAGTTTCAACTTATATGCAAATTCAATTGTTCAGAATCAAATACCAAACCTAAAGAACGTTCAAAGCTTTGCTCTGCTTAAGTTTTAACGAAATGTCATTTGAATCTATGTATGATTTATCTTTTTCGGTATAAATAAATGTTGCAGATTGATTCTCTCTTCTCAAAACTGACAACAGGTACTCATCTCCATCAACTCTTTCAACGCAACCAACAAAGGTAACAACAGATCTTTTACCAGCTAATTTGATATGAGCAAAATCTCCAATATGTAATCTTGTTTCACTACTTTTTTCTTATCGTCTAATATTTTGTTGTCACTTTCACTGTTCATTTCATCTAAGTTTCAAGCATCATCATCACTGTCATCATTGCATAAATCACTAATTACTGGTTTTCTTCTGCATGTAATTTCACACCAATTCTGAGATCCTCATCTTCACAGAATTTTTTTTTTTTTTGCATTCTCGTAGTTTGGAGGAATGTTCATTTGGTTTAGCGAAGCACACTCATATGTAAGTGCATCACATATTGTTAATCCTTAATGGTACTTGAAGGCTTGTATCATATAGTGTACCAAATTTGTTCCTTCCTCACCTGTGAATATTTTGAGACTCTATATATTCAAAATATATTTAAAGTTAGGATTTGGCTGCTCTTTTTTTTTTTTAAAGTTAAGAAAATTGCGGTTCAGAGTGGCCTTACTAATACTGTAAAATTCAGCAGCTTTCTTTCCCTGATAAAATTTGCAGCTGTTTTTTCAACATTGTTAGCCACATTGTTGCATTATTTTATACTTTTTGCTTCCAAATTCTTGTGATTAGTTAAGTCTAATGAGTTCCTAAAATAAGAAATAATAACTAAAAATAAACAGATTATATAAGTTAAAAAATACTTTGCATGCTATCTTGTTAAAAATCTATTTTTAAAAAGGATTATTTATGCATATCTAGTGTCCCAAGGTGGGCCACCTCTATCTGTCCCAAGGTGCACTATATCGTATTTAATAGGATATTTTAAAATATCATACTTTTAGGCTTAGCATTAGAACAATTAAATTTGATAAATTCGAAAGGCAAAGCTTTATACTTCATTATATCACCCACTATTAAAAAAAAATTGAAATTTCTTTCGACAACTAATTAAACTTTTATGTAAAAGTAAATAAACATGCTTCAAAAAATAAAAATTCTAACAAATTCTTACCTGCTTAATCAATAGAATCAAAATTTGTTCCAAGCTTAGATGATGCTGACATCTGAATCTAAAAGATAATTTAAAATTTAGGACCAAAAATGAAAATGTCCCAAGGTGAGCCACTCTCCCCTACTAAAAAACATTCATCTATATTTTTAATGGGCACATGAATACATTTCAATGATATAGAAATGATTTTAAAAAAATTACTTATCCATCTGCATAAGTTGACCATAACAATGCACCATAACTGGTCAACTTCATGTGTATACATAAGCTTCACCTAATTTTTTTTTTGTATTAAAAATGTTGAATTGATATTTTGATTTTAATTCTTTGTAGATAATACTGAATCATTTAATAAGCACAACTTTTTTTCTAATCATAAAATATTTATTTTGTATATATATTCTAATTGTAGAGATTCGTATTTTAAATAAGGACTAAGAAACTTTCAACACAATCCTTTTTATGTCTGGAGAAGGAAGCCATTAAGATGGGATTAAGAATCAATGAAAATAAAACTAAATATATGCCCTGCACAAAAGCTGGAAATTGGAGCATACAAATTCGAAGCCGTTGATAGCTTCACCTATTTGGGGTCTAAGATTAACAACAAAAATGACACTACACAAGAAATACACACGAGAATCACGATGGCCAATAAGTATTTTTATGGCCTAAGAAAATATCTTAAGTCAAGCCTAATAAAAAGAAAAACAAAAGTGTTACTCTATAAATGTCTTATACGATCAGTGCTTACATACGCATGTGAGACCTGGACAATGACCCGTGGAGATGAAAATATGATAGCTAGTTTTGAGAGAAAAATACTGCGAAGCATTTTTGGTGGAATAAGTAAAAACGGTACCTGGTTTAGAAGATCAAATACGGAACTCTACAGAGCATATAAAGAACCTGATGTCATTAAATTTATCAGAATTCAAAGGATTAAATGGGCAGGCCACATTATAAGAATGGAGGATAGCAGGACAACCAAAAAAGTTTTCTGTGCCAGGCCAACAGGTACAAGAAAAAGAGGACGACCAAACATAAGATTTTTAGACTGCCTTGAAAAGGACCTACAAATTTTAAAGATAATTAACTGGAGGACCTTGGCTAAGGGAAGAATGTCTTGGCATAGGCTTGTTGAGAAGGCCAAGGCCCATCCTGGGCTGTCGTACCAATGAGAAGAAGAAGAAACTTTCAAGAAAGGTCTCAGAAATTCGGAATTCTTAGGTCCTAAGGACTCCAAGGTCTAGCAGTAACACTAGACTTAGCTTAAATGAAAAGATTTATGAAAAAACAAAATACCAGTTTATAAAACTTTCTCAAAGCCAATTTATTGCATCTCATAAGTAATAATAAAATCATTTTTGTATCATAAAACTGTCCTGACATTCTTCCTCAGATCTGCAATCCTCTTTTTTTTTTTTTTTTTTTTTTTTCAAATCCTTTTTTAGATTTTTTTTAATAATATTTCCAAGATTCTTGCTAAAAAGAAGATGCTTAAACACTTTCAAAATTTCATAAAAGTAGTCATATAAAACTTTAAATATTTGGGTTAATATAGATTGAACTAGTCATGATTGAATTAGAAAGATAGTATTAGTCATTTGAATCTTTAAATGTGTTTGGTTATCACTGATTAGTTTTAGCAAGGTTATAAACATTACATTATTCCACGATATTAATTTTTTGTTGTTGACTTGTTGGTCTATCGGCAATGTAATATGTCAATCCTATTGTTTAAAAAAGTTGTATTAAATAATATTGTTTCCTTTCTCTCTGCAAATTAGCATTTAAACAAATATTTTTGGTTTCTGAAATTCGCTGCACACAAGATAGTTTTCATTAAAATTCTTTTCTTTAAATTTTTTCTTTTACTTTTATTATAGTTTCTGGTTTCAAAAAATGTTTTATATCTTTATTTGTCTGTTTCTATTTTTAGATGTAATAAACGGTTATAACGGAACCATCTTTGCTTACGGACAAACTTCTAGTGGTAAAAGTTATACAATGGAAGTAAGTATTTTTAAACTTTTTTCAGTTAGACGTTAACTCTTTTCATTGTTTAAAACTATTTTAAATAATGTGTATATTTTTAGGGTGATATGTCCGATTCTGAGAAACTTGGCGTAATACCCCGGATGATCCATGACCTTTTTAGCTATATACAGAATTTAGAAGAGAACGTTGAATTCCATATAAAAGTAAGTTAATTAAAGAAAACTTTGATTGAACTGTATGCTATAATTATTAATTATATATTTATTATTTTATTAAAATTGATAAGGAAATAAAATTTGTATATTATTTATATGTTTCAGTTAAAGTAATTATCAACCTTTTCAAAACTATTTATTTCATCCACATTTTTGTTATTTAACTTGGCTGCTTGTATAACTGACCTGTTTCTCCTAAGTTTTTTACTCAAAGTGTAGTGTTTAAAAGAAAATTTTCATACTTGGTCAAAAGTGCATTGTAATTTATTTTATTACTAAAATTTTTCCCCTTAAAAAAATTAGTTTAATGAGTTTGATATACCTAAAATCTAACTTATGCCAAAATATAAAAATATATTTTTTAACTAATTTGTGGGGAAATATAACCATAAGTTGCTAAATTTTTAGAATTTTTCAGTTTTTTTTAAAATAATTTTTATGTATTTAATTTTTGGCTGATGCAGGGGAAAAAAATGGCTTTAATTAAACATACTTAATTGCATTATGTTATCTACTCAATTGAAATTTGTGGTCGAGAGCTTCCTTATGACTGCAAAGAATTTGTCTTAGTGGCAAAAGTTGAAAATTTTTTCCTAATTTTAGGTAGATTCAATAATTAAATATATAACAAATATCTATAATGTTAAAAATGTGTTTCCAATGGTACATTAAAAGACAATCGAAAATCGAGAAGATAACAATAAATTTATAGATGAAAGGGAGCGGTAATGTAGTGCTCCCAGATTAATGTTCGAGGAAGAGCAGGTCATCTAAATAAGTGAGGTATGTGGCGGAACTACCACTATAAATATAAAATACCAAATCACTAGTATATAAGACATGTTAACTTGATTCCATCACAAGGTACCTTTTGATAGATGAAGGTTGACATTAAACCATAGTGGGGATTAAAATCCCCGCTATGGTGACCCAGACGTGGCCAATATCGATGGGTGATACACATTAGACAGTTGATTTGCTTAAAATTATACTGCTAAAAAAAAAATGAAAAATCTGGTGAAATAAAGTTTCCAGGTCAAAAAGCAATAATGAAGAAAGAAAAAATAAAGCGAAATGCTATTGTTCATTATCTTAAAATCCTCTCATCTGGACCTCTTTGCATCAAATTAACAATTTTAAACAATCTTCTGTGTCACATTTCTCCCTCTGTGATCCCTCATTTTAATGACACATTTATCTTTGGGAGAGTCTTTTTTCTTTCATCTACGGCATCTGCAAGCATGTGTGGGCCTTATGTTTGCTCACAACTTAATATCTTATAATATCTCTTAACTTATACAGGGTGTGTAGCGTTTTTAAAAAGTGCTTAAAGGTACTTATTTTCATTGGGTGTTTAAGTGCTTAATTTACCTTTTTTCAAAATGAGATTTTTCCTTTACTATGTTGATTTTCCCTTCGAATTATGCGAAAAGACACAGATCACATTGTTCTATTCAACGTTTTTACAGTTAAGTCAACCCCAATCTATTTCAGCATATTGTCAGTCCGTAGTGTATGAAAACACCATTCGTTTTACATGATTCAAAATTTCATGATTTTTTGACAATTGTTAAAATCAATGCCAAAAGTTTTTTTTTTTTTTTTTTTTTTTTTTTTTTTTTTTTTTTTTTNTGACTGTTAAAACAAGATAAAACCATCAATTGTCAAAAACTTTCCAACCCTGCCTAATTATGATATTTTTTAAAAGTGCTTAAAAATATTTTTTGTTGAATAATTTGGCTATGCTCCCTGTTATAATATCTTATCTTATCAACTTAATATTCTTTAATTCATTGATTGCAATTTTGAGGTGGTGTATGCAGGCAAGAATTCAATTTAGATATTTTTCAAACCCAGCTGGTTGTTATGAATGCACTGCTCTATCTATGAAATAATAATATTCTTTCATATAAAATTTGTCTCAGGCATTGATTTCTGTAGTATACACTGTTTTTCAAAATTTCAATGTTCATTGGAAATTTAAAAAAAAACAAAACATGGAATTTGATTTGTTAATGTAGAGATAAACTGGTTCCGATGTATTATATTCTCACTGGCAAAAAGAATGTAATATCCTCACAAAGTTTTTTATTTTGCCTCCTTGTGTAACATCCTCACAAATTTTTTAAATTTTATTTTTCCTTGAGTCTAAGTAAAAATACTTTATTTAAATAATGACAAAAATATTAAAAATAAAGATAGAATAAAATTTTTTGTTTGACATATTAAAAATTTGTTATACCAATATTGTACAAGTTGATGAGGTTTGATTGTATGCGTATTTCAATTATAATTAAGTTTAAAGTATACATCTTTAAATGCGTTTAAAGGATTTAATACCTTTGGACTTATTTATTACAGGTTTCGTACTATGAACTATATATGAACCAAATCCGAGATTTACTGGATGGTAAGATATTTATAAAATTATTATAAATATGTTTTATATTCTTATTTCAATGTTTTAATTAATTGTTTATTTCTCTAGTGACACGAACCAATTTACCTGTTCATGAAGATGAAAACAAAGTACCGTTTGTTAAGGTGGGTATTTTTTAGCCCAAATTATCTTGTAAAAAATATTTATTCAAGTTCTCATAAAATCTTTATTCCTTTAGGGAGCTACAGAAAGATTTGTCACTTGCCCTGACGACGTAATAAAAATTATGAAGGAAGGAAAATTAAATAGACATGTTGCTGTAACAAGTAAGTTCTTGATAGAAGATACTAAGCTTCTAGGAAGAAAAATTAGGACGGCTTGTCCGGCAATGTACCCGTCCTCCTTTGAAACTAACCCGTAGCTTCTAAATAAATAAAAATATAATTTTCTCTTATTTATTATAAACATTTATATAAATTGCACAATGAATTAGTAGTTACTAGGATTACAAATACTAGGCTACTAATAGTAAAACCTAGTCTTTCTTTTATGAAATAATTTATTTCTTTTATGAAATAATTTAAATGACAAAGGTCAAGTTATCTGGAATGTCAATTACGAGTTAATCCGAGGGTACTTCGTTTTTTAAATGAAACAAATATGACGTTTGCCAGTTTCACAATCAAGCCAATGATTTACAGAGGTTTCTGCACAGAAATATGAAAGGGGTTTTCCATTTATGTGGATGTTCATAATTGCATTTAACACTTCTTGTTTAAGACCAGTACGTAATGTGTTTTTTTGTAAGCTCATTGCTGAAAAGCCTCTTTCAACCACTGCAGTACTCCCAGACAGAGAAAACATCAATTCCACCAAGCGCAGTATGTTGCTGTATTTCTAGATTAGAGGGTCATTTTAGAAGTGAGGCACTAGACAACAAAAGATAACAAAAATTGAAAATGTATCACGAATATTAATGGGAAAATGACAGCCCGCGCGGACGTCGGATTCGAGATATTTGTTGTCCGCAGGGAATTTTTGACCAACGAGGACGTTTTTCGAGCCCTGAGCTGCTTAAACATATCGATCAAACAAATAAACCAAAAAATATGTCTTATTTGTTGCTTACAATTGCATAATTACTTTTAAACAGCCCCTTTACTATAAAAACTGGTGATCAGGAATTACCCTAGATTATCAAGAGAAGGGGTAATTCCTGATCACTAAAAATTTAAAATCTTTTACATTCTAGTTAGATTTTCAAATAAAAGAAGTTAGCATAGGACTCATCTCATATAGTCTCAAACTTCCAGTAAATATTAAAATTCTATATTGAATAGTTTTTTCGCGAAATAAATGTTTGCTTTTTTTTGATAAGGAATTACCCCAGGTTACCCTAAGTCTAAATAATTATGAAAACATTTACTTTTATTAAATTATAAGCTTTTAATATTATAAATGTATTTCTTTATAGACATGAATGAGCACAGTTCTCGTAGCCACAGTGTCTTCCTCATTAATGTAAAGCAAGAAAATCTTGAAAATCAAAAGAAAATCAGTGGAAAATTATACTTGGTAGATCTATCCGGTAGTGAAAAGGTGACTCATCTTTTTCTTTATAAATGTCCCAGATTTTATTCTGTACATGTGTATTTATTCTATGAGCGATATGTATATATTTTTTTCTTTTGCAAAAGTGAAATAAGTTTTTTATTCTATTTATTAAATAATTACTTTTTTAGGTTAGCAAAACTGGCGCTGAAGGCATGGTGCTTGATGAAGCAAAAAATATCAACAAATCATTAGCTGCTCTTGGAAACGTTATATCTGCACTTACCGAAGAAAATGTTAGTTTATTTAAATGTTTTTTATTCATACATCAACTCAGCCCAAGTCAATGTATCTAAAATTTTTAATTTTGCAATTTAAATTTTAACTTAATCATTACTTGGCAATTATTTGTGTTTTGATTATCAAATCTATATTTTTTTTTTTGGATCTTTATATTTGTTCTATAGTGTTTTTAAGGTAATTTAAAAATTGTCATCTTTAAAATTTTAACCTGTATTACCATTGAATCTGTAACAATGTAATCTAACAATGCAGTTATTTATATCTATAAAGCAGGGCCGTAACAACGCCGGGGCCCCGACTGTCAAAGGGGCCCCATATGAAGAAACCACATCATGTTTTTTTCAAAATACAGTACTCTAATTATATATATGTAGGAAAGAAATTGTGTTAAGATAGAGTTGCTGAAAATTTTCCTTTTTTGTAATTACGTACCTACTATNTATCGCGATTCTTATTCACGCTATTTTAAAATCAAACATAATGGTTCTTATTCAAGCGATTTTAAAATCCAACATCGCTATTCTTATTCACCCTAATTTAAAATCAAACATCGCGATTCTTATTCACGCAATCTTAAAATCCAACATCGCGATTTAAATTCCGATATGGCCTTATTCACGCGATTTTAAAATCCGGCATCGCGATTCTTTTTCACGCGATTTTAAAATCAAGCGTCGCGATTTTGAAATCCAACATCGCGATTCCTAATCTAAGGCCTCTAAAAATTGTGTACGAAATTAACTTTCTTGTCCTATCAACAGTCTACAGATCAGTCATGTTAATAAAAGACCATCGTAAAAACAAAGAACTCATGACAAAGTCCATAAAGGTCCTTGGACCATTAAAGAAATGTTTTTTTTAAAATGATGTGATACATAAAATCGTGCTTATGCATAATTACTCAAAGTTATCTAAATTATTAAAAAAAAATTATTTTAATCAAGATTTTATTTAAGAACATAATTACCATTTATTTATATTTATTGGAATAGATAATAATCTAATCATTATCAGATTGGCTATTGAATTCATATAATTTTTTCTTTTGCACGTTCAATGCTGCAGTTATAAACTTCCTCTTTTTTGTGTTTTTGTCAATCACATCCTTGTATAAAGTAACATTATCTTTAACTGTATATATTTTAAACATACTTTTTTGCATTGTAGAGATCTCATATTCCATATCGCGACAGTAAACTTACCAGAATATTACAAGAGAGTTTGGGAGGAAATGCAAGAACTACGGTCATCATTTGCTGCTCTCCAGCCTCCTACAATGAAGCAGAGACAAAATCTACATTAGAATTTGGTCGCAGGTAAGAATTTGTTTTGAACTTTGCTCAAAAATATTTAAAAAAAAATTTTTTACTTTTAAAAAATTTACTGAACTGCATAAAAAATTTTTAATACTCTTTATTTAAATTATATTTTTTTTCAACATTCTTGTAATTATTATTGATTGTTGACTTCCTTTTCAATAATTTTTAATTTTGTGATTATTAACACTCATTTCTTTCAGTAAAGGATGTGCTTTGTGCTATATATATATATATATATATGCGTGTGAAAAGAGCACAACTAAGGCATAGATAAACATGCTCTAGTTACTGTTCTCAAATAAAGAACCTTCTTTGGTGTAGAAAGAGGGTTTTATTTCCTATTTTTTCTTTCATTCTGTGTTTCAATACAGAAGTAATACTCATCATTACAGAAAGGAAACTATACTATGTCTGTTAATGTAGCATTATATATTCTTGTGATGTAGCATTACATTTATATACTCTTTTCATATTGTTTAGCTTCATTCACACTTTTTCCTATTCAATATTGTGGTGGCGGCAGTGGTGCAAGTACTGCGCCAATTGTGGAAACCTGCTCCTACATCTTCTTCTTCTTCTTGCTTCAGCTTGTCAGATATGTGGCACCTCTGCACATGTTGCATTTTGTACCATGCTCCAAGCCCAATTTTTCCTAGTTCCATTGCCTTGGGTCGCCTACTTCGTTTATATAGTCTGACAGTCCCTTAATGGAATTAAGGTGAAGCTCTTTAAGATATGGATTGCCTAAGGTAGTGAGGCGTGTAAGGGCGAGGGCATCACATTCGTATAGGATGTGATGTGCTGATTCTACCGCTTCACGGCATTTCCGACATGTTGGTTCTTGTTCGAAAAGTCCCAATCTATGTAGATGTTTCCTGAAATGATAGTGCCCAGTGATAAAACCTACAATTGTTTGAATCTTCAATCTTGGGAGCCTAAGAATTTCAGAAGCAATTTTTGCAGAAGGGCTGCTGATCATGCTTTTATCATGTTTTTGTCCAGGAGAATTGCGCCAAACTTTGTTCATCTCCTGTTTTTTCCATTTTAGGACAGCCTTCTGCTCCAAATTGAAGTAGTTGGCTTAAATTGCATCATATGTGTGAATAAAAAGCTACTTGACAATAGGGCAAGTTTAAATTCGCATACTGCTAATGGTTTGAGACAAGTTGTGTCACATTAACAAAATAGGGGGTTTAAATAGCTTTAAAGTTGACAACGATATGATTAAAGTGGTGCATGCAGCATTTAAAAATTATTCTGCTTTATTAGAGATTGAAAAAGAAGAAAGCGAAAAGACTGTGAAAACATTGAAACTGAGGAAAGCAGATTGAAAGCTGCTGAAATTGATTTGCAAAAAAAATTGAAGGCTTCTCATGATCTCTTAGCCACAGCTGAAAAAAGTATGAAAGATGGGTTAAATAATAAAGACATGTCAATTATAGAATGCGAACAGAGCCTCTTATCTGAGGCTAAGTCGAGGATAGCAGAATATTTAACAGCATTGGAAGACAGTAAAATGAATTTTAATTTGTTAAGGCAGAAACCTTCAAAAAAGAGTAAAAAATGATATGTTATGAATGAACAAAATTAAAAATTCTCGTTATTATATTCTTATTTTAATTCTTTTTATTATATATGCTCCAGATCTTTGTTTCGCTTCTCCAAAATTGCTTTTTTGTTGCTCCAAAACCATGTTCTGCCACTTGCATCACTGTGAATGCTTATTGGATTATTTCATGTTGGCATGAATTAGTATTCTTTTGACTGTTTTAAGTTGGTTGCTTGTCAGTACTATTTACAATTGGATTATTTGCACTATTTATGCTATGCTTTTGTATTTATACCTGTTTTGAACAAAAGGTAACTAGAACTTAATAAAATCTCACACAAACTACAATATACTTCTAATATTTGAACTGGTTTTCCTGTCATTCAGCTTAAGGTATCCGTCTACGTTCGGCACAGAATTTTTAAAAAAAATTAAACTCTAATTTTAAACGTTGTGTTTGGTGTATTGTAGATAAAAAACAGTGAAATCAATAACAATCAATCATTATTTATTTAAACTTTTGAAAAATGGTAATATTTTAGCAAAAATTTTGGATTTTAATATGAAACGGCTAATGCTCTACACAAAAGTTATTAACATATCCCTTTTATTTTTTTTATTACAAGTACTTGATATCTTTAAGAGTGTTATGAACTAAAAACTAAGAATTATTTAAATAATTGCACATAAAATAGTTTTATACATTGAAATTACATAAAAATGTTTAAAAAAATTACTATCTACCAGCACTTAAAGTGGACATAAAATGAAAAATAAAATAGCTGGAACAAAGTTTTTAGTTCATTACACTCTATACATTATAGCGAACAGTTGTGTCTAATATTTTAAAGATATCTCTTTTACATTTTGAATTATCACAAAAGTCGTAGGGTAAAATGAGCTAAAAACTACTTTCTCAGAAACGACAGTTAAAGTTTTCAAGCAACTGAAATAAATGTAAAAAAAGCAGTAAAGTTCTAAAAAGTCTCTAGGATTATAGCTAAAACCTTCTTTTTACCTTTTTAGCATAATTTCTTTCCTTTTTCCTTCTTATTTTTTCTGTTTAGTTTTGTTGTGGTTGTTTATGAATTTTGTTAAAAATCGACAATTCAAAATATTTTTTGAAGAAACGACTAATGGTCTAGAGAAAAAAGTAATTGATATATCTCTTTCATATTTTTAATACAATTAGCTGAGACCCTTTGGAATGTTCTGAACTACAAACTAAACATATATTTCAGTATTTACGTATGTTATGAAATTATATAGTGAAAACATAAATTTAAAAAAAAAATACACGTCCTCTACATATATACTATACATATGAGGGCAGAAATCACAAAATATGTTTTGGATTAGAGTTGCTCGTCAATTATATTTCATACATTATAATAAACAATATTGCAAAATATTATAAAAGAAATTATTTTACATTTCAACTGATGACAAGAATCGTAACGTAAAATAAAAGAAAAAAGATTTTTCAATCAGTCGAAGGCCAAATACCATTAGTGTATTGATAATATTGTTCTTGTTTATCTTTTTAGTTGAAGAGAATCCCACAGAGAAATCACAGCTTTTGCAATTAATTGTAAAATTTGAGCATAATCCCATCATTGAGTCTTCTTTGAAGTCCAATTTTGGAGCGAAACACTGAGGGCAACAAAGCATTGTTATCACATTTATCAAAATCTCGATGTCCAAAATTCTATTACCTGTCAACTGCGATGTATTTTTCGACTTTTTTTCTTCAAAATATTTCATGTTTTCTTCCAATTTGGAAGAACTTGCAGTAGAAATATTGAGCAAATCCGAATTTTCAACTGACGCGTTTGTTTTTACTTCGTCTTTACAGAAACGATTTCCATGAAACTTTCGTTTTTTTTTCGAATAATTCCTAGCTTTTCCCATATTTAATAAATAAAAAAGATTAAATAATATAGGTACTAATAAAGTATTGTATTTTTACTAAAGAAAAGTAGTTATAAAGCGTAATAGAATAAAGAAGACAGTAAACAAACAACATCAAACTAAAGAATCCAAACAACAAACTAAAGGCTGTATTGCCATATGTATTTTGCAGAAATATAATAAAAAAAACTGATGTATGGGGCTGTGTAAGTAGCACAAATTTAAAAGTTGAAAATTGACAATATTTCTATAAAAAAAAGCTAAAAGAAACAACGTAGAACGTGAAAAATAGTTAGTTTCGGTTTCCAAATCCCACTTCCGGTTTGTTACTATGATCGACTGCTTTTATTCAAATCACAATAACTCCGGATCTAAGCAACGTAGAAACAAAAGTGAAACTGTTCTGGATTCAGAAAAGTTCACTCTAAATTAAAATAAAATAATGTCACAATCGGAATTTTCATCGAAATTGACCTTATTTACCTTGACGGCTACCTTAACTATTGTAGTGAACCAAACCCCACACAAAAAATACCTTTTCTGTATTTTACTCCCTTGTAGATTAAGGTCATCTAAACAAATTACTGTATAATGACATTTTAAATAAAATATGTATATTATGTCTTTAATTTATGAAAGGTTCCTTGGAAAATAAATTATTTAGTGATACATAATTAGAAAAGATGCTCTGAAATTCTCGTATTTTAATACTTTATTATTTATTTTAACCTTATGTTGGGAAATTCAACTGCCACTTTTTACTATGCAATCAAATCATCCTCTTCAAAATAGGTGAAATAGTATCATAAAAATTATTTCTGAATGAAATTATTTTTATGATAAAGCAAACTCTAAACTAGATACGAGGTAGTTAACTGATAATGCTGATTGTTTAAATGAAATCTTTCAAATCAATCTGTTTTTGAATCAGTATGTTTTTCGTAGAGCGAAAACTATAAAGAACCTTGCTGTTGTTAATGAAGAAGTATCAGCAGCGGAATGGAAAATAAAATATGAAAAGGAAAAGAAAAAAGTTTTTGCACTCAAAGCTGATATGTTCAAAGCAGAAGCAGAACTTAACAGATGGAGACAAGGTATGTTATTTAATTTTTTTATTTAATTAAAAATATCTTAGATTGTTGTAAATTCACATTCTTTTTTAAAATCTGTTTGCCAGAGTTTCACTCAAAACATCAATTTTGTTCTATGGAACACTGGTGTATCTGTGACAAAAATGAGTATTGTTATGGTTGGGAAATTATATAATTGTTATTTTATTAATTGTAATATTTAATGCATCTTTGTTGACACTAATTATTTTACACTAATTAAATTAATAATTGAATTTACATTTAATTATGGCACTTAAATTAAAATAATATAATTTACCGATAAGTAATGTTTTTATTAAAAAGGGATCTGATTTATTTCTTTTGGGGCCTCTGTTCTCTTTCATCTTTCCCGTGAATAGCCTGACGTCACTAGCAGTCGCAAATCTCCCCTTCTTAAAAAGTAGGTTTGCCGACCACCATCCGGTCCGCGCTTAGATAAGTAAATTCTTTTAAACCTTTTTTTTCTTTCTTTTCTTTAAGCGATCTCCTCCTTCCTTTCCTCTTACAGAGTCCCTTAACTTAATTTATAGTTAATGTTCTTAAGTTTTTGATTATGTTTTAATTTAACTTTAGTAGGACTGATATGTCAAAGTCCATGTGTCCAATTTTTGTAACTATTTTATTTACCCTAGATTTTACTTAAGTCAATAAATACTTTCGTATATTTCTAAAATGTGTTTTATATTAATTCATCTAGGTTTTAATTATTTAAGGTCAGATTATCCTTTAATTAATGTTGATTTAAAGTTGAATCTTTGTGATAATGGCTAGTTAACAATCTAAAAAAATTATGTTGTATGAAGTCCTAAGTAATAAAATTTAAAAGACACAACGCGATGTATCTAAATTAATTATATCATTTAATTCAGCTAGCAAATGTTTTCACTTAAAAGAACGATACAATAGTATCAAGGAAATGCCGTTCCTTACTCTCTAGATGTTTGGATACCTCTAAAGCACAACAATTCTAATGGGTCTGAACTTGCTGTGAGGTACCGTTTCTTCACAATGAATGAAAATAACAACAAACTACTCATACTGTGTATATATTGTATTTAGAAACTTACTAAAGTAAAAAAAACAAAAAAAATGCTGAATTGTCTTAATTTCTTTTTAGGGAACTGTGTGCCTCAAGATGAGCAGCTGCTTTTTAAAGATCGCGCTTCTGAAGAAGGAGCTAACATTGAAGAGGACCTAGCTACACAGAATCAAGATGTGAAAAAACAAACTCAATTAGGTGGACAAGAAAAGGTAGCATTTTTTTTTAAAATGTTGCAGTATTGAATCCCAAATTTAGATACCTTGAAATTTAACTGCTAGCTATAGATATATTTAAAAATAATTAAATATAGTGGAAATAATTCTTAAATTTGTAGAAATTTTAAAATTTTTCAAAGCCTCAGCAATGGTTTTTTTTAATTTCAATGGTCTAAATTATTTAATATTTAGTAAAATTTATATTTTTGTTTTATTATTGAACTTGGTAATTTTCTTACAAATATAAGAATCTGTTTTTAATACCAATGAATATGTTGTTAGTTATTTATAAATTACTTTATCTAATTTAGAGGACGGAAAATGAGGCTCTTGAAGAAATGCAAACATTTAAAAAGGAACTCACAGAATGTAGACAATCTATAATGCAGGTAAATTTGTTTGTTTTTTCATTGGAGGCTTCTGAACTTTGTGTTACTCTTAATTTTCTTAAACTGCTATATCTGTCAGGATCTATTAACTTGCCACAAACAATTGTTGAGGAAACCAAAATTTTCGGTCTGTATTCAGATTCCAATTCTTCAATGTCAGCTTCAATTTCAGACTTTTGAGTACATGACCATGTGTCTTCTGAGTTACATAACCATTTGGGTCCATTCCACCATTTTCTTGAAGAAATCAGGTCCTTGCAAGAAATTCCCCTGGTTAAGAGATCTGCTGGGTTATCCTTGCCAATGCAATGTCTTCAAACACTAGGATCTGTAATCGCTTCCATTTGAACGCTGAGCCTTTAATCCGGTGCAGCAAAATCGTAGAGTCAGACCACAAAGATATTTTATCAAGATTTTTAAATAGTTCCTTGATGTTTCACCATTCATGTGGCTATGATAGCTCCAATCTGGGTAGAGTTGATTTCTTAAGGGGTGCTACTCTGGACTTACAGAACTAGTACTAAAAGTACTTCCAGATGTTTTGTACCTGAAGTATGTCTACAGGATTAGCATTTAAATTATCGCTGGAAATATGACATTCGTTAAGACTTAGATTATTTCCGCTTTACTACTGGCATCATAAACTATTCTTGTTTTTGTAGTGGAAGAATTTTCTTTAAAAACATCCCAATGCGGCATTGTATAGACCACAAAACAATTAGAATTACAAGTTTCGATAATCCCTTTCTAATTCTTCTTTCATAACATCATTATATCTTTCAAATAAAGATTCGTCAGCGCTAAATCTCCGCATAAATTTTCACTAGTAGTTTCAGATTTCCACAAAACTGGTGTCTCATATCTTCCATTTTCAAACCACAACCTGTTTTAAAAATTAATAAGATCAGAGTTTATTTTTTTTTCCTAGCTCTCTAGTAGTGAGAAATGATTCAATATTCCATAAACATGACGAATCATTTGCAGCTGAATCAGCTAAAGTGCAACAAATGTTAAAACAAGAAGCCGCACCCTGATAAGGACCATCTGGCACCTGTCCTACTAAGGAATCTCCAAACGCCAGCTGAAGGAATAATTTATTGCGTATTTTCAATAACCCACCTTTTAAAGTGGAATATAAGAAATCAGCACCTAACGATATTTGAATGGGTTTCTTATCCCATGAATCAGCGATTTTAAATCCTTGAGAAAGTAAAGTTTCTATTAAATGGGGATCAAATTCTGAATATAATTAAGCAGCGCATATTTCCTCGGTAATTAAGGCTTCAATATTTATACTTGAGTATGGAGGAAACCTGCTGCGTAATGCGATATTAACACATTCATATTCCTTTTCCAAAGGATTTCGATTTGAAAATGTGTAAACAAAAAGTTTTTCCTTTCTTAAACTTTTCGTGTTTAATGCTTTAGCCAAATCCTTTCGAATATAAGATTTTTGAGAAGCAGAATCATAAAGTATTCTAGCTATTAATTTTTTAGATCCATTTTTGACATGTACTCGAGCAGTTTGTAATAAAGTATTATTTAATGATTGATTAGGTTTAAAAACAGTAGACATTACCGCTTGATCCTCCAGAATTTGAATAGTTTCGGTTTTATCTGGGGGAGAAGTTTGTAATAAATTATTTTTTAACTTTGAGCAAAACAATAAATTATGTTGAAAACTTGGACATATTTCTCAAGATTTGATTTTAACTTAACACTGATTTAGCAAATGGTTTTTATATAAACATTTGTACCAGTGTCCTTCCTTTTTTAATTTAAAACGTTTCTGGTCATCGGTAAATCTTTTGCATTTTAACCCTGTAAGCGAGTATGAATTACAAAAAATGCAAGAATTTTTAACAATTCTATTTAAAGCGGCTGATGTAGGAATATTTTTGTTTTTAGGATATCTAGTTTCTTTTTTTGATCTAGCTGGTTTGTGAGTTTTCATGGAAATCGCAGAAACTGCATTTGCTGCTTCTCGAAATTCAATTTCAAAATTCATTAATTCACTGATATCACCCGATTTAATATGATCTCTTTTACGATGATATTCTATTATTAAGTTATGAGGTAATTGTTTTAATAAAATCGGAATTAATAAATGACCAAAATTAGCTGATGCTACACCTATAGATTGTAAATTTCTTATACTGATTTCACTTTCATCATACAAATGCCTAAGCCCCTGAATATTTGAAGAAAATTTAACTGATTCGATTTCCAAGAGTTTATTTACAAAACAATGAATTAAATGTTCTGATTTTCCATATCTATCTTTTAGTAAGGTTAAACACAATTTATAATTTTCTTCTGTAAAAGCAAAACCTGCTACTGTTTTATAAGTATCCCCAAAAAGAAGAGATTTTAAGTAAATTAATTTATTAACATGACTTAATAATTCATTAGAATCTATAGAAACTATTAAAAAATTCTAAAAATGTAGTTGAATTACCATTAAAAGTTGGAATGTTAAGTTTAGCCAAATTAATAGAAATTGGAATATTTTTACTATCATTAACATTCGATACATTAACATTATTAGTAGAAACTGATTCTTTTATTTTAAACTTTGTTAACAACATTTTAATTTTGGAGTCACCTATGTTTTCATCATATTCCATAGAGTTTTTAATTTCTGCTTCAAAAACAGCATTATCCGTGATTAGTTCCTCAATTGATTCATTAAGGTTTTCAGCCTTTTTGCGCAACTGTTAAGCGCTTCATCAAAGCACAAAACAAAAGGCAACTATCTAATTTCTTTTAAAAACAAAGAATGAAAATAGGGTGCTAAGCCAAATGAAACAATGTGCGTCATTTTTGTACTTTTCAAGCTAATACTTTTAGCTATAGCACTATCAGGGAACATGGCTTGAAATATTGGTTCAGCATCTTTAAAAGCATTGTATGACGAATGTGTCATTACAACTTTAAAAATCCATAAAATTTCGGAAGTAGAGGATTATATATTTATATATTAAACGTGTATTACATTACAAATAATAGGTTATTTCATTAATGCTTACTTAAATTTTATTTTTATGTTGACAGTATGAGGCAGAAATAACATCACTGCAACAAGCAATGGATGACAACAATTTAAAAAAAAGGAGTTTAGAAATAGAAGTGGCTGTCCTTAATAAAGAGCTTTCTAAACAGAAATCAGCAAGTAAGAGGCAGAATTATTTATTCATATTAGCATTTATTTTATTCGAAACGTTATTGAACGTAATGTTCTTAAAACTATGTACTTAAAATTTTATAAATGTTGCAGTGGAGATGCATATGATGTCAGCAAAAGAAACAGAAAGAGTTAATTTAAAGTCTATCACAGACGCTATGGAACAGCAAATTAAAGAAAATTCAGAAGCTCAGAAGAAACTAGCCGAACTAAGAAATGAAATTGCAAAGAAAAATGTTCAGATTGATGAGCTAAAGGAGTATGTTTCGTTCTTAATTGTAAAGCTTATTTAGTATTGAATCTAATCTTTTCCATTTTATGAATATTTTTTTTTATTATCATATTTTGATTTTAAGAACTGTTATTGGTAATTTTATAATTTACTTATTTTTACTCGCTTCACCTTTTCAGTCTCAATCTGCAGCTTTCGATGGATCACATGAAACTACAAGAAGCTTACAACCAGCTACAACTGAAGGAATCTAGGAAAACAAAGAAATTTCAAGAGTGTTTGTAAGTAGAATTATTTTAATGCAATGTGTGTCTAAAATTTGGTGAATGCAGGATTATTTCACAAGTGATGTGAATTAGAAATGTAGTTATCCAGGGTGAACACTACCAGGAATTGGCATGGTGCAATCTAATTGAAATAGCAGTACAGATAGGTTTGACATTTTGATTTGGGTTAATTCAAAACCTGATTTTGTTTCATGATTTATTTTATGTATCCTTTCACCGATCTTTTTAGGCATGCCTTATATTATTTACAACCAATTATATATATTGAATCTTCTACACCTTCTATTTTAGGCTATCATTGTGTGAAAGAAAAAAAGAAGCACTGGTATGTTACACTTAACCAAAAATTTATTTTTTTCTTGTATATGACATTTTTCGTTCTCATTATCCGTTGATTAATAATATCAACTAATAAATTAATATAAAATTGGCATTCATTAAAGCGACTATGTCTTGTTGACATTCACCGGGGAGAAGCTGCCTTCTCGCAGTATCGCCAAATTGATAAGAATAAGAAATTAAATTGTTCTATGGTATAGAGTCAAGAGTTAATTATATATTCGGGCAGGGACAATCTAGAAATTTGGGGACTGTAGGCACTAGACTATCGGGGGCCCCAATGAATCTGATCTTAAATTAATTAAAAACCCTCTTTTACAAAGTTGATCTTAAATATATATAAGTAAGAAGAGATATATAAGTGAATAATTGTAATTTCAAAATAGGCAGATATTAATTATCTATATGTAAATCCATATAAAATAAAACAGTTAAATTTTAATTTAATTCATACAAATAGAGTATAAAAAGTTCAAAATGTGACCATAAACAAATAAATTTAATGCATAATTTTAACAGTGAAAAAGCCACGATAGAAATTATATTTCAATAAAAAAGAATCAGTAATCAGCATTTCCAGGAAGCTAAATAGAAAACTTGATTTTTAGAGTAAAAAGTTACCAAAAACTTGGAAACCAATATGAAATATATTTATATAAATTGTTAATTAAAAAATATGCAATATTTTATAAGTAGTGTTACTAAAGGTAAATTATAGATCTGTCCAATCAATAATAAACAGTCAATGGAGCCATTTTGGGGAAGCTTCTCAGTAATAGGATTTATGGACTTTACTGTATTTTGTGCATAAATTTACTGTAAAATTAAACTTATATAATAAGAAAAAGTTTTTTTCTTGATTTACTGTTGAAATCGTTTAAGATATCTTCAAATTTTAGACTTTCTGTCAAATCACATTCCATTGACATTAGTGCTAAGTCACACAGTCTGCGATTTGTCATTCTTGAACGAAGTCGATTCTTAATTCTTTTCATTAAAGAAAATTATCTCTCTCCTGAACAGTTTGACACAGGAATAGATAAGAATATTCTTAATGCTACTTCAATATTGGGATATGTGTCTTCTATCTGTAGCGTTCGTATAGTCTTTAACATTTCAGTTGGATTTGACTTATCAGTCAAAAAGTCTTTAAATTGCACAAGTTCGTCAAAAAGTCCATCATCAACATCTTCAAAGTATGCTTCCTGAAATGGCTTTACTGTTTCCATGCATACTGGTTTCTTATTGGTTAGAAATCCAAACCTTCTTTCGAGAAAGCTGTAAGCTTTTTTTCTTTCACTTAAATGAAATTTCAAATTGTCACAAATGACATAGTGTGTCTGAGTTAAAAATTTTTCTCTTGGGGACAAATTCACACTTTCACTGGTGCTATCATCTAAAGCCTTTGGTATTCGAAGAGCTCTTGAGGTTTTATAAGAAATATTTCCCACAAGATTTTCAGCTTCCTTTTCATAAGAACTAAAGTTTTCTCTCACATTCTGAATAAATCCTTCTAAGGATTCATAGAGTGGGATTATCACTTCAAAGGTACAATTTTGAGCCTGCAAACTTTTACTTGTAGCATTTATGCGCTGTAGTAACGTATCCCAAATAATGGTTATTAAAGCAATTTCAAAAGTTTGGCATTTCTTAAGTAAACATTTAGCTTCATGTTTCGTCGAAGCTTTTTCATTAGAATTTTCAGCCACATCTTCCAATGTCTTTATTACAACTGCATATCCTTTTCTTAAGGCCCTAACGGCAGCAGCACTTGCAGACCACCTTGTACACGATAAAGATTTGAGAGTAAGAAAATCTTTTTGTTCGAATTTAGAAGTAAAAAACTCCCACCTGTGAGGGGAAGCTGAAAAAAAATTATATAGTGCTTGCACAAAACCAAAGTAGGAAACAGCTGCTTCACATGATTCTGCAGCATTCACTCCTACCAAATTTAGTGAGTGAGCTGTGCAGGGCACAAACTCAGCCAAAGGGCACTCTATTTTTAATCTGGATTGTAAGCCAGAGTACTTACCAGCCATATTGCTCGCATTATCATATGACTGCCCCCTGCAGTCTTGCAAATTAATGGTCAGATTATTTAAAAAATTGCACAATTGTATCATGCAGGTTCTCTGCAGCATGGCTATGTATGGCAACAAAAGTTAAGAAACCTTCAATAGGCTCATTTTGCGCATCTACATATTGCACAACAATGCACATTTGATCAATGTGTGTAATATCTGGGGTAGAATCAACTATGATTCCAAAGTACTTTGTTTTAATTTCAGAAACAATTTTATCTAGTACTTGTTTTGCCATAATTTGAATTATTTCATCAACTGTGGTGGACGATAGATAATTAACATTTCATATTACTTTCAACTACTTTTTTAGGCTCTAGAATTTGAGATTATGAATGGGGCACAAATGTTTATTAACCAGGAGTTATCGTCAGATCATCAGAATTCACCTATTGGATGTGATAGTGGAGCTGGTTTTGCCCCGAAGCAAAATATTTCTTTCTGCGAAAATCTATGTCAAGAAACCAAAAGTGTATGTCCTTCTGAAAGTTTTAATTTAAAAGTCTATATTTGTTTCTTTTTGATTATCCAAATTTTATCCTAATTTATTTAAAAAAAAAATAATTATGTAAATTGAATGTGTTAATAATAATTAAAACCCACTTATACACAGGGTTCATGATTTTTTTGATTTTTTATTTAAATTAGATTTTTTTTTATGCAAATACACTGTAAGAACTTTAATTTATGATTAACAAAACTTTATAAATGTTTAATCCAAAATAAAATTAATATAAAACTATATTATAACAATATTTTAGAAGCTCTAACTTACTAAAATAATTTTTCATTATAATACATAGCTTTAAATGCATAGCAGCCATTTTGAAACAAATCCAAGATTGAAATTTAAAGACTAGATGAAATAGAGAATTTAAATAATACTTCAGGAGTCTGTCTAGGTTTTTCTGAGAGTTACCTATTTTTTAAAATTTAGACATAATTTGTGAAAATTAAAAATTATATTAAAAAATCGACACAAAAATATAGTAAAATTTTTTTTTATCGTTTCTTACGAGGCACAAAAAATTTTTTTCAAGAAAAAAGTTTTTTGTGAAATTCTTCTACTGTTTTTCCTTAAGTTGAATTTGTGAAGGTACCGCTAAACGGTAGTAAATTTGGCTTGGACAGACCCATGTACTTTAAACTTTATTTTGATTTAATTGAAACTTTGTTTTAGTTAATTTAAAATATCTTTTCTTTCTCTTGATTTTTAAAATGACAATAAGTGTAACAGATTGTGTTTATAAATGTAGTCATTTATCAATAAATAAATAAATATTTAATCTATACTTCTATATTAAGATATTCATTTTTAATTCTGTATCAAAATAGATAAGTTAAGCTAAAAAATAAAAAAAAAATTTTTTTAATCAACTATGTACTCATTGGAATTTTTTTTCACAAAATTTCTTTATAGAAAATCAGATAATGTCAAAGACACTGTAAACATATTATGAGAAAAAAATACCAGTTAATAACCCTACTGCTTCAAATTGACTTTGAAGGGAGGAATGAAATTATATTAGAAAAAAAATATCTGAATTCATCAGCCTTTTTTTTCTTTCTATATATTTTTCGTATACTAGGGTAATTTTTTTTTAATACAACCTCAAACTTCTGAAATGTACATTTCCCACCAATAAAGTATAATGTAGATTTTAACTCCTCACCTTTTCATTCAAAAGGTAGAATTTTAACTAACATTATTTGCATTATTTTTTTGAAAAAGATTCATGTTTATTAATTACTTTCTACAGCTATGCAAGTCTAAATTAAGACAGCAATAAACGTTTACTTTAATCTGTACTTTCAATCTCAAGAATCAAAAGTTTTTTAAAAATGTAATTTCAAATGTGTTGGAATTTAACACACATCAAGAAAGAAAGCAATTTCGTTAACTAAAATTAATTAATGCAGCAATTTATTTCAAATAAATTTTAAAACTAAGAAAAGAAAATAATAAAAGTATCAATAATTTAAAACACTGTTTTTTAACTTTTAAAATCAATTTATATAGATAAAAAAAATTAGTTGATTTAAATCAATGATTTTTTTTTTTAAAAAATCATTTGATTTAAATCAACAGATTCTGCTCATACACTTTATTTTAAGTAAATATTTAATAAAATGTGTGCAGTTATTATTATAAATTAATTTTTACTAATTTTCCCTATTCTGAATTATTGTAGCTGGAATCACATTTTGCTGATATAAAACTTGAAATTGACTCATTGGCACAAACTCTTAAAGAACGGTCGGAACTTACAGCAGCTCTTTTTCAAGATGTAAAAGATGCAGAAGATGCTATACAGGATAAACAAAGGTGGTTTTTCTTCTACATAACTTTTTTCCAAATGTTAAAAATCTAAAATATAGCCGATACTGTTTATAAAGTAGTTGTATCTCAATTATTCTATATCAGCGGTCTTATAGAGGGGGTGAGTCATTGTTTACTTTTTCATTTCCTATATCATCTTGCTTCCTATATCATATATCATTTAAAAATTTTTTTTTTACTTCACTTAAAAATTTTATTTAGCAAATAGCCAAATGAATATCTTAAGAAATGTGTTCAAACCTGAATGAACTTCAATTTGTTACATATAATTATAATATTTAACTAACTTTTTAAAAAATTTTCGTTAGTTATGCATGTGAACTGTGTAATAAAAATAATTTTTAAAAATATTAGAACACGAAAACATGTAATTTAAAAACTTCAACAAAACAAAATTATTTGAACACTTTAAAATTTATTCTGTTATTACTACACTTACAAACCTATTTGTTTTTCAAAAATGTTCCCTTATTATTGTTTGGCACTGTTGTTTAGACTTTACCATTTATTGTTTTGACTCCAATGTTTTGAATGAAAGAAATGATCAAACATTGACCCCCTACAGTTTCCCCAGATGGTCAACTCACAAAAGGGTTTAAATTAGCTGTTTACACTATTTTTTAAACACTTAATTATTAAACATTAAAATAAATTATTAAATTTATTTTTCAAGTGTGGGAATTTAGTAATTTTTTTAATATGTAAATTTAGTTACGAACCTGAAGATGGAATACAGAGAATGAAAGAAGCAAGAAAAAAACAAATAGCTAGTCCTGGAAATATGGCTCATATAGGTAAGTGCCAATTAATTTGCTTGAATGAATTTGCATGTGTAGTTTTATACTGTAAATTTTAAACATAAATTTCATTTCTAGCCAAACCAATTAGGTCAGGACAGGCAATGAAAATAAAGGCCTCAGGACTAATCAATTCCAGGGTTCAGGATCTATCACGTAATTATCATATTTTTAATTCTTAGGATTTTGAAAAATATGGATAAAATCTTTATTTTATATAAAATGGTAACTAAATTTTAATTTTTGATAGTCCCAATCTGTAAGCTTTCTGGTATTTGAGCATTTAGGGCAACATTGTGTCAAGGCCTGGGAACTGCAAGACGTTCCTGTAAGGTGTCTGCTGAATTTCATCTCAGCTATAGGGCTTTCATGCTAATCATGGGGTTCGAGTACAATAGACCTCTGGTCGACGTGCCTTGCTCATTAGAGCTGCCCAGGTTAGAAGGTTATTCTTCTGACCAGGGGCGTACGCAAGGGAGGGGTTTAAACTCCCCTCTTGAGCTCAGACAAAATGGCAAAAATAAAAATTTTAGTAGAAGTTACGCGGGTTATTATTTTTTAAGACTACAGTCGAACCTCTAATTAACGAAGTGTCTAAATCCCGCTAAGTTCGTTATATGGAAAATTCGTTAAATAGAAATTCACCTTTTGAAATGCTTGAACAACATAAAACAGGTTTTAAATTCATAAACACTAAACATAATTAAAATAGCAATTGATACACCTTTATCTTGTAAAGTAGTATTTACTATTTATTTTATAAATCTTAACCATAAAAGAAATCTGCAAGAATAAAGCAAAACATTATCCAGTGTAATACTATCATGCTACATATATTTTCAACAAAAAAAAGCTAAATTTATGCATATAATTATAAATGCATTTATTATAAAAGTAATTTTAAACATACATTATCACATGCATTCTTAAGTTTAACTGCTACTGATAAAGTCCGTTAATTTTGTCTGAGTTTTTAGTTTGAAATGCAAAATAAAAATTGAAAGGGATTTTACTGCTTTTTCTAAAAGTTAAGTGGCTTCTGAAATCATTTCTAGATAATTTCCCCCATAAAATGTGTTAACAAGTCTAAAATGTTCTGAAATATTTTGGGAAATAGGGAAAGTGGATCTCAAAGAAAAGTTCGTTAAATGGAAAATTTACTTCGCTATTTGGAAGTTATTATACGAAGAAATTTCCAAAATGTTCTTGGTTCCTCGAAAAAATTCGCAAAATAGAGAAATTCGCAAAATGGAAGTTCGTTAAATAGAAGTCCAACTGTATATACTTTTATTTTTCATGATATTTCTCAAAATACTGAAAAAACATACTATAGAAGGGTTATACTTTTGAAACCAAATTCACATGATACTGTTACGGGCTGATTCGCAAGAATCTAACAATTTTGAATTATTTTGATAAAAAATCACGAACTGAAATTAGTCAGGTGACAGCATCTAGAACCAATGAAAATTTTTCTGTTGAACAGAAATGTTATACTTCCGTTTTAGAAAACATTTCAAGCATAACAAAATCTGATGAATGTGAAAGTGGCCCTCAAAGTGCTACTTCCCACCCATATGACATTGGACATTTTTCAGAAGATATTACATGCGAGAAGATATTACACTATGCTCTTAAACTTAAAAAATAAAATCAAAATTTAACTAAACAATGCTGTCTAAATAAAAAGTAAAAATTGTCTAGCTGTCTAAATTAGGGAAACAATAGTGCTTTATTACATACTCGAATTTCTTTTAGTAGTTTCAGAAAATTATGAACACCCCTCCTTGAAAAAATTCTGCATACGCCACTGCTTCTGACTCAAATGAATATGCACCAATTGATGTGTTTTGGAACTATTTTGTGACTTGTGAATTGATGTTTTTTTGTGTGAACTTGGATTATTTTGTGAAGAAAGATAATTTGAGAAATATCATATCTTCTTATAACAAAGCTCTTTTGTGCATACCACATGGGAATGCTGATGTTGAAAGAGGTTTTAGTTTTGTTCATATGTGTGAATAAAAAGCTACTTGACAATAGGGCAAGTTTAAATTTACATAGTGTGAATGGTTTGAGACAAGTTGTGTCACATATCAGCTGAGGGTTTAAATAACTTTTAAGTTGACAAAGATGTGATAAGAGGGACTCGTGCAGCATTTAAAAATTATTCTGCTTTATTAGAGGTTGAGAAAAAATGTGAAAACACTGAAACTGAGGAAAGCAGATTGAAAGCTGCTGAAATTGATTAGCTAAAAAAATTGAAGGCTTCTCAAGATCTCTTAGCCAAAAAAGTATGAAAGATGGGTTAAATAACAAAGACATGTCGATTATAAAAAGTGGACAGATCCTCATCAGGAGTATTTCTTTCTTTTCAGATGAACAAGAAAAGTATCTTTAGAATATAATTCTACGGAAGAAAAAAAAATTTTTGCTTTTGTATTTTTTTCAGCTATTTTATTGTTTCAACTCTTTCTTTACTCTTTTAAATTTAAAGTCCATAAATATGAATATGCAGAGTATAACAGTTTTGGTTATACCTATCATTTCAATTAATGTTATTAGAATGCTTTTTTTTAAAATTTATTGTTGCGTTTTTGTCGGAGAAAGTAGTAACTTCATTGAGTCATGAAAAATTCTTGGAATTAGTCATTAATTTATAAATCTAAAATGTTGCAGATACTCTGTACGTTGTAAGATAAACACATCAGACACGCATGACAATAAATACATAAAAAAAAAAAACATTTTATTTGAACTGGAAGTGTAGAAATTAAGAAGAAAAAAGACAGAGTGAAAAATTTAATATCTTCTTATTTCACATGTATAAATTTTTAATTGCTGGAAAAACTTATAATTAAAAAAAAGTTAAGTTTTAGTTATATGCAAGTTATAACAGTTAGCCTAACTAGTTATAATAGTTAGCCTAATATAACTCAAATAAGAGCTCAATGATTCTGTGTTTCCTCTTAAGGCCTGGTTTCTTAGGACTGGAAATCAGCGCTAACCTCTGATTGGTCCATTTGTGAGTTTGATAGTATACGTGAATGTTTGATCTATC